CAAATTGAAACCGATATCGCTGAACCAATAAACAAATGTGAACTATTCGCTGTACCGCCTTTTATTTTTCCGATTTAAACCCTACTTTAAATGTAACTATTTCTACTTTACCTCTCACTTTTGCCTTGAATCATTTTAGTTTAGTGAAACAATTACTATCAAAGAGTACATTACGTCCAAGCAAAATGCCAATAAACTTCCCACGAGGTGGATGAAAATGTTGCCTGCCCGGATTAGGTCGACTTGTAACTTCTGACAAAAGCTGGCCTTTTTGCATTTGTGGTCATTCATTCAGAGCCCCATCATTCCCGCTTCCTCTGAACTAGCCTGCCAAGCTAAACCAACATTTACTACCTGCCCCAGCAACGGCATGGATGAAATGATAAGCGCGGCGTACAGCAAATTGTATATTCGACATGGACACAATCGGAAGAGGTCAGCGCATAAACAATTGCCCATTCCAAAGTGTCACTTGATAGTGAAATAGGCATCGCCACGAGGCTCTACCCTCCCGGTCGGATGGGCTGTTGTTAGGATTCTTCGCATTCTTGAAAGAATCTCGACCTTTCGGTGGTCAACGCAGGGCAACAAGAGACTGGCAAAGGCGGTTGCCGTGCGAGAAAATGGTTGTCTCAATGCCCTCTTGCATGGACAGGCTGAGCCGGCCTGACCGAATCAATTTGGACGGTGCGCTCCGCGACTCCGGCCGGACTTGAGCTCGAATCCCGCTCGGCGAGATGCAGGCACTTGTCGACTGGCCGGTGGGTGTCGACTCGGAATCCGGACGCATCGCCTAAAAGAGACAAATGGCTATGCTCAATGCCTTGGCAACATGTCGCCATCGACGTCGGGGTCTCGATGTCTGCCCCACATCGCATGTCGACTTGACGTGTGCTGGTTGGGGCGAGGCAAAGAGAAGAGGAAAGGTCTGGGCCTGCATTACATTGATTTTAGGCATTAGCACATTTCGGAAAGAGGCTTCTTGTAAAATGAGGTTGCCAAGTGAAATGAGGAATAAAAAGTGTGCCCCTGCCTAAGGCCATACAACTGGCACACGCGCAGAATGGCCAGTCTCGATTACCACCGACGAATGTGTATCCCACTCTTAATGGATTGTGCCAAGTTGGTAAAAAGGAATGCAGGTGGCAGCCAAATAGACATTTCTGAGGCAGGATTGGTGCAAACTGCAGACACAGTCAAGCAGTTAGGCACCTGAAGCCATGCTGGAGGCCGAAAGAGAAAGGAATACGAGAGGAAAAGGATAGAAATGATGGGCATAAAGAGTATATGCTCGAGTGCCCCTCGATAGGATGCGCCAGCGAGGCGCTCTCGGCTCGTCAGTAGCAGTAGCAGGTCTTCACTCGGCCCCACAACTACACCCGACCTAACCTGCATCAAGCCGGCATTGGGGCAATTCAAGTTCGT